AGCAGTAGTCGTAGTCGTAGTTGTAGTCGTAGTCGTAGTCGTAGTCGTAGTCGAAGTCGTACTAGTAGTAGTAGTAGTAGTAGTAGTAGTAGTAGTAGTGCAGGAGTAGTAGCCGTACGTAGTCGTAGTCGCTGTAGCAGCAGTAGCAGCAACTTCAGTAGCTGTAGTATCAGTAACAGCAGCCGTAGTAGTATCGGTAGTATCAGCAGGCGGAGCGGTAGGTGTACCAGGGGGATACATCCCTGCCTATTGCACCTCGATTCATTCGCTTAGCTTGGAGCCTCCGGATACGTCGTCTTGCTGCACATCTGTGATTTAATTCGGGATGTGCTGTTCAAGCTGACAATCCTTCCAGGGCTGGGCTGGTCGTTGTTTTTTCTTGCTTTACTGGACGTTCGATACTAGTTGCAGAGTCGCTTTCCTGCTCCTTACTCGCTTCTCTTCCTCGGCTTTTCGCTCGGTGCCAGACTACATAAATGATTGTGATTCTATTAGTACAACTTCTTTTGGTAGTGGTCCTGCTAGGCTCGTACAAGTCGCTGCGCCAGCTCCGCTAACATTGTTTGTTGGATGCGCCGTCCTCGCCTTCTTGGTTCTACTATGTCGCTGGACTGACTTGCCCAACGTAACCGAAAACCGAAGCTTGCTCCACATCTACAGCTGCACAGATATTCGCCAAGCTTGGGGAACCCAAAACTGCGAAAATTGAAAGCTCATCAAACATGCAAAAGAAAACACTACGAGTGCCAAAAAACACTCTACCGGCATTGCTGACAGCTCGACCCCATCCCCAGCGGAACAGCGGAACAGGCTGCACACAATACGACGCAACACTGCTGCTGCTGCTGCTGCTGCTGCTGCTGCTGCTGCTGCTGCTGCTGCTGCTGCCGCAGCTGCAATTGTTGCTGCTTTGTGTTGCTGCTTCTGCCGTACCGCGAGTAGCATTAGTGGTTTGAGCACCGGTGTGTCATACGGCTCGCGTGCTGAAACGGTGGCCGGACCAACCGAACAGATACTAGTGCAGTCCGCAACCAGCTCTTATTTTGAGGAACGGCGCCGCGCAGGGGCTCTCGAGACTCGCAAGCTCAGAGGGGCATGCCGAACCAAAGCGGAACTCCGCATCGGCACCTGGTATTAAAAGCGGGATTTTGCGAAGATCGCCAACCATTGCTCTGGCAGACAACCTCCCATGCAGGAAAACATGGACATGCGCTCGCTGCACACGTGAAGACTTTTCGGAGGGTCGACTGACGTTTTTTCCAAACGACCCTCCTGAATGACAAAGAGCACTCCATCATCGGTTGCTGGCTGAGGACTTTGCATTGGTGCAGGAGCTTTGTTTTGTGATAAGAGATCTGCATACCTGTTGCAGTCTAACTCCGCATCTTCCTCGTAAACATCCTGTTCACGCAGTGCTTTCCAATCCTGTACAGCTGCAGCATGCTGCTGGGCCAGCATTTTTGTTCGGTACTTCTCCTCCAGGGCTGCCAATGGGTCAGCAGGGGCATTTTGCAGCATGGCGAGAGCGTGCTTCTGGCGACGCTGAAACTCCTCGGTGTTTAGCTCCCTTCGAGGCAAATCTGGTTTAACCTTGCGTCCGCCCAGCTGGTTCTGATCGCTCCATCTTGGAGTGATGCCTGGCTGCAACGGATTATCATAGTACGTGATCGTGTAGGAAGCTTCCGATTCGAAGGCATCTTGGGTCAGGATGCTGTCATTCACCAACCCAACCATCAAGTACAGAATATCCACTCTTGCATGCTGGAGCAAAAGCACGTTTTCGAACTGATGTTCTAAAGACACGATGTACTTCAGCCCAAGCCGAACGATGTCTCGCATGTGCAGTGGCACATCAGCAAGATCAATGCGAACGTAGTTCTCGACTTTGCTCATGTTCCAGTCCGGTGAACGGCCGTCCACGTTGCGCGCGGCCTCTCCGAAGAAAGCATCCACGAATTGATCCACCTCTGTGTTGGGGATATTGTCCTCATCGAAGCCGCACTCGTCGTACCTTCTGCGGTTGTCTTCGTTGCTCAGGCAGGTGTAAGCCTTGCTGAGCTCTTGAAACCTCTCATTCGATCCTCCGGGCTTGTCGGGGTGAAATCTTAGCGACAGCTTTCGATAAGCACGGACAATCTCAGCCTTTGATGCATCAATAGGAACTCCAAGCACGTCATAATAAGGCAGCTGCCGATGTTCATGCACGTCATTGAACTCACGCAGGCGGCGCCATGCACCCTGTGATGCTGCCATGGAAACTTAGTTTTCTGAGCCTGCTTGACTGAATGTGCGGGCAGGCTTGCGATCGTCCCTCTCCCTCCATGAACTGTGGTCAGAAATGGTCAGCACAGGCAACACCAAGGCAACTGTAGCACGACCGGACCAGGAATGTCCTGCGCAGCAAAGGGCAGCACCGCTCGGGTCAGCCCGTTCAGTGTCCTCACGACGATGCCTCTTCAAGCGAGCATCACAGCGAAGACGGCTTCGACATGTAAGGTCTTGCCTTCTTGGCAACAAGCAAAAAGGAATCCACCCGAAAAGGACGCTGCAGAGGCAGCCAGCGGCACGACCTCGTTTGCAAGCTTCATTGCAAATAAAAAGTTGCCAGCGAATGCCAAAGCTGGCCATGCCTGGAAAACGCGAGTCTCAGAGAGGGAGACTCGCTTGAGGCTGTCGGTGCTGACCACAAACATGTCTCGACCTCTGCATTTTTAATGTAGATGTGCAGCCGCTGCCACTCACTGCCACTCGCTTCGGTCCGAGAGCATGGCTGGCACTTGACAGACCAGCAGGTGAAGGTGACGAGGGCAGCGCTGATGACTGAGTCCAGGAACATCGTGATCGGACACTGCAAGAGTTCTGGACACCTCCATTGCGACACAGATACTCCAGCCACCATGTCCAGAACAACTCCACCACAACGCCATCGCCTCACGACCTGGCCCGTCAAAGGCAGCATTTTCCGAGTACCCAGGCCGCATACTCTCCCGCCTTCTTGCTTCGTGTGTCTGCCAGCTGCAAGACGCCATCCTCCAAAGTTTAGGAAAGCACCTTCACATGCAATGTTGATGGGACGGACAATCAGAGTGACTATCATGGGCTGTCCATGCTGTCCTCATGCCCCAGAAGCAGGAATGACTCGTCGTCGAAAGCCGAAATGCAGGTCACAGCAGTTTCGTGAGCCTGGGCTCATTTGCACACGACGATCCTAATTCTCGCATGGAACCTGGTAAACAAAGCTAAGGAACATGTTGCAGCATGTCACAATTTCCGCCAGATCTCCAGAAACAAACGGAACCGAAGGCGTCGGCAGACACAGGCCAGCCCTGCGTGAGGCAGACCGCAGTAACCGGGGCTGTGTGTCCCAAGTATGTTGTTCCCGTCCAATCGCTCCATTCCTGACTGACAAACTTCAAAGACTGCCCCTCAGACCCGTCACGCCACAGCTCCACACGAGTGTCTGCTCCACCAATCGCGAAGACGTTATCGCAGGCTGCCAGGCAACGGATCTCACTTACGTGCTCGGAAACCAGCTTGCGAACTCCATCTTCCTGATGAAACACGATTGCATTCTCTTCAGCACAAACAAGGATGCGAGGCGAGAGAAACTGAAGCGGCTCACCCGAAAACTGCTGGAGAGTGTGCTGCTGGCGCTGTCCAGAAATATCGACCTCAACTAGGGAGCCGTTGCAAGCAATCCGGACCGCGCGCGGGTGGTCGTCTAAAAACCTCCACATGAGAGGCCCAAATATCTTCAGGTCGGCTCGCCCGTCGAATATGCGAACGAGGGCAAGAAGCCACAGCCTACGCTCATCGTGAAAAGCCAGAACCTTGTCTTCGCTGCCAGAGCCAGCACTGTCCTCTACGCTCGTAGCAGTTTCGACGGGCTTGGTCTCCGCATCGTCAGTAGTGCAAAGCTGGCGTCCAAGCGAAACAAGCAGCCCAATGCAAAGCCTCGGCTTCAACAACCCTATGGGAGCACATGCACCTCATAACCTTTCGACATAGTAGGCCCGTGAGTCACCATGAATGAAACAGGGCCCTGCATTTTTCGACTTTCCACACATCAGAACGCCCGCGCCCAAGCTCAGTCTATATGACTTCGGCCGTTCGTGAGTCAGGACTGATCAACAGCTGCAGAAGCAAGCTTAAGGCGTGAACCAGGGGGAAGCTGAAATGAGCCAGGATGCGTGGGAGGAATGCTCACAAGACACAGGCATGTGTTCAGAAGTCTACCTGAGGCTTTGCACACTGCATCATGTGTGCGGATCCTTCTGAAACAGTACGGCTTACTCCAACTGGACACATGGCAAGCACAGGCAGCTCTGTTCGGAAGCTGGCGTTCTCCAGGAGATAATCTCGAGCATAAGGCACGTACAAAGAGAACGATAAATTTTCTTGAGCCGGGTCCGAACAGTGGAGGCTCAGCTGCAGTCCGCGTCGAATGCCACTTGACCATGAAACAACTCGCATGGCCATGCACAGCCTGTGATCCAGCTGTCGGCGCTGTATGTCCTCCGACATGTCCCAATGGCCATGCACCAGCTAGCGATACGAAGGTGATGCAACAATGTGGCAGCTAAAACCATGCCACTTCAATGCACCTCCATCATCAGCTGTTCCTGGTTCACCTTCAACTTCTCCATTTCCCTCAGCACATCCTGAGAGCATGCCGTGTTTGGATCCAGGAGCTCACTCTTGGGTCAAGTACATAGCCAGGACGGCCTGCCAAAGCGAGTCGTATTTCTTTACCACCTGGTCTTCCACCACCTGGCGGCCAACATCATGCTGTCGAAGTCATGGAGCTGCATGTGAAACAAGTATATCTCAGGAGGAAAGCTGCCTGCTGACGCTCCCGCACATCCACGCAGGTCTGCTCGACATTCTGCAGAGTGTCCTGCACTCTCTGACGTCGCCATGCTTTGCCTGCCTCTGCTTGGCGAATTGCATGGTATTCGCACGGCCTGGTTGGTCTTGACAGTGGATGCGGCATCATCACATTTCCTGTCGAGTGCATTGCGAAACACCAGTACCGTGCACGGCGTGGATGTTGCAACTGCCGCTTCTCTCGTGATGGAGTAGCAGCAACTAAGAAACTAGACCCGTGCGGTTCGGCATGGGCCTTTCAATGTCGCGTAGCGTTTCCTCACACTTGTCAGTGCGGGACTTCGAAGAAGCCACCGTCTTCCCTTAGCTCGTGGCCCCATCGTACTGACACCAAAAGTTACAACGTTTACGATTGCAGCTGGGGAGATCGCCGTGGTCCTCCATCTTGGCGAGGATTTTCGTGAGTTCCTATGGGCGGTTGATCTGAGTCAGAAAGCACACAGCCCCAGTGCAGTATCCCAGTCCTCAGCAAAGCCATCCACCTGCACAAACTGTCTCAGGTGTGTTCGATGCGTTCCATCTTGGCAGCTCACCGGCCTTGGTCCGAAGCTGCACGAGGCCTGCCAGGCCTTCCGTGTCGTTCTCGTGCCGGTCCAACCGGTCCTCCGGCTTGCGATCCTATGCTTCCGCCCACGATCTCGCGCGATCTCGCGTGCACCCATGCCAAGGGGCTCAAGCCTTGACTTCCTTGATGGAAGCTTCTAGGTCCGACTTCGTACGGGCATCCAGCGCTTCGAGATCGGTCTTTTGCCTTTGGCCATCTAGAAACGGGTCGAAACCGACTTCGCAACTGCAGCCCGGTCCGGCCTGTCCACATCCTCGCGGAGCTTCTCCGTCTCTCGTCCGCGCTCTGCGACGTGGCCAGAGACCTCCTGAGGAAAGGGAACGAGACGGCACGGCCTTGTTGGGGACCACAATCTGAGCCTCTCCTCGAAGGCCTGCTTCAGTTCGTCGAACCGCTCGTCCTCAGAACCACACTGTTGGTTCACGGGGCGGTGCTTCGGCCGTCACGCAAGACGGCATCATGCCTGCTTCTTGAGCTGCTCCGAGACATCTTGTAATTCGTTTTGAATCGCTGCCTGTACAAGTTCGATTCGTCTCACCATGTCAATTAAGTCTTCCAAAGGAAAGGATACAGCATGATACAGCGCAATGGCGGCCGCCTTGATGACATCATCGATACTCGACATGAGATTTGGAGCTTCGGTGTACGAGTGTGGTTGTTTTGAGGCATTCATCTTTCGTCTGTGGAATTCTGCCCTCTCGGCTTCCTCGCGTGCTAACAGCTAAGTACCTAAGCGGCCAGGACCGATACGTCATATTTGCACCGCAGCACATTGCTATCATGGGTAACATGGAAACTGAAAGCCAGGATTCAGCGGCATCTGCAAAGAGCTGCTGCAGGTTTAAAGTTTAAACCACAGAACCAGGCATAACGCATCACAGCAAAGTTCTTCCAGGGCTGCGCTGTTCTGTGAATCGAAACAGCCTCAACGCTCCGGCTCTTCGGGCTGGCGACTCTGCTCAGGCTGCAGATGGCTCGGGACTCAGGACATGAAGTTCTGCAAATCGCTCAGAGCCCCGCAGCATTCTGTCACCAGCAAAGGTTGCACCAAGCGGGTTGTCTCCCTCTGAGGTGCACAGTTTGTGTGCCCCTCAGCGTGCAACAAGCACAATGACCCACTCAGAGATCATCGTCAGTTCCGTTACAAATGATGGTTTACAGCAAGAGATGACGTATGAATAACACACCGCTGCCACAGAAAACTAGAGATACATGCCTTCGGGGTATGACCCCTTCTTTTTGTACAATGCTTTCTCCTTCGCCTTCCTCATGTCCGCCTGCCCACACAACGGCAAAATTGAACTTCCGTCAGGATCCAGGAAGCAGCATGACACCATCTGGGCTTGTCTTCATTAGGTCTTGCCTGCGTCACTTTCATGCGACGTTCACGGAGGGCGAGCATGCCAGCTTCTGTGCATATCGCCTGGACGAGAAGCAGAACGCAGAATGCTGCGCATAGAAGAGCCCATGGGCGAACTCGGGCAGACATGCCCCAACTTGACGTCTCACCTTGATGTCTGCCCCACTGAGGTCATCCTGGCATCAGTCTACAATACCGCAACCTGGTCGAGCTTCTCAAAAGTTCCGCCTTCGCAACGACAAACTCCTCCAGGTTGACATCATCCGCGAGGGTCATCTTCCCCCTTGGCTACAGTGCTCCAATCGGGCTGCTGATCTGAGTCCGACATGCAAACGGGGCAATGCTGCATTAAAAATCTTCTCAGGACCAGACGTGTGGATCTGGAAGATGCGTCGCTTGGTCTTTTCGTCCGGCAGTGGAAACTCTATCTTTCGATCTATTCGGCCTCTGCAGCTCCCACCATCAGCATCCAAAGCGCACGACGAACACTCACAGTGTCCTGGCCTGGTCGGATCATGGCGGGGTCCAGGGACTCCATCCTGTTCGTGGCCATGATCACCTGCAGTAGCTCTGAGTGGACCTGCACCCGACCGATTCCATCCAAACCAACCTTGACGTCGCCACGGTCATCGAAGCCGTCTAGCTGATTCAATAGCTCCAACCTTTAGAGAGGCCGATGCAAGGCACAGGGTTCTGGACTTGAACACTGCAGCAAAGGGACATGGTGCGTTGAATTTCCTTCTCGCCGCCACTTGTAGTATCGTACCTTGCCGGATTGCCCAAATCAGGGCCGACTACCCTGGTTGGAACCCGAATCACAACCCGATGAACCTGAGAACTAACCCAGCGCACCGCTTCGTGGCGACGGCGTCGATTTCATCGATGAAAATGATGGAAGGGGCATGCTCTTGCGCAACGCGAAACATTTCCCGGACCTGGCATCTATCAGGCTACTTTTAGCACAGCAACGATGGCAACATTTCTTTGCCAGCTTCTCGCTTAGCACATGTGCAGCAAAACAGGAAGATGCACCAGCTTAGGTCCCTCTCCAAGATACTTCTGAATCAGCTCGCTACCGACCTTGGTTGCGAAAAACTTCCAAATGCCAACATTTGCTGGGCACAGAGCCTGGTAAGGCCTGGGCCACTCGCAAGAAAGTTGCAGACGTCTCGCTTGCAACAGCCTCTCACAACGGAATGAATCCGCGCGGGCTGCTTTGCAGCATCCCGCCTTGGCCAACAGTGTCTTTCCGGTCCCTGGCACGCCGTACAGGATGACCTCAGGTTACCGAAACCACTTGTGCCACAGAACCTTTGACGAAGAGCAAAGCGATGCTTGCTTGCAGTCAGGATGCGCCCTTAGGCGGCTTGATGCCAACATCCTGAGCCGGGCCATGGAGCTGCAGCTGCTGCGACAGATACAGAAACCTGACGAGCATGCCTCATAGAGCTCTGGGTGCGTCAGAGGCAGCTCAACTGCCTCAATAGATCACGAAGAATGGAGGCGTGACTCGTGTGACTTCGGACATCAGGCTGGCCTCCTTCATCTCCTGGATCTGCTCTTCCAGGCCACCAATGTCTCCGTAGGACTCCGTCGGTGCCTGAAACCGGCAAAGCATCACAGAATCACGACAGTGACATGCAGCCATCCGAGCCTTGTCCACCTTCATGACGCTAACGAGTGGGTTCACCTCGTCCACCAAAAGGCCGATCACACCTTGTGCCGCGATTTACAACACGCTGCAGTCCTCACAGATGTCCTGAGAACAGCTGAGAACCACTGCTCAAATTCTTGTGGTGCATGAGGATAGAAGAGCCAGGCTCCAACTGATCCTGTTATGCCAAGCAATGGGATCTCTTCAAAGCTGCATGACTTCGCAACCTTGTCCACGAAGGAAAGGATGTTCACGTAGTACCTGAAGGCATTCCCGCACGAAGGATGCATAGTCGCTGTTTGAGCAATTCGCGCACTCAGGGCCCATAGCCGTTGACACGATGCAGTGATTCCTGTCACGATCGTCGGGAGGGAAGGATCTCAGCTCAGCGGCTCGCATGGCTCAGCTCTTGGCTCATCGATGAATTCTTCCAGCGAGCCGACATCCATCGGAGTCCCGCGGATGTCGTCGAGCTTGGACCTCACAAAAGGAAACAAACCTGCCAGCTCTCGCGGTCTCGCACGCTCGAGGATCCAACTTCTCGTCTGATTCCTTGTCTTCTTTCGGCTTCAACCGCTGCTGCTCCTGCCCACGATAAAACTGTCCCCGCCACATCTTATAGAATCTTCAAGTGCCAGGAGCGTGGTGTCCTGGATAAACTCTTCCTCCATCATAAGGTAATCCTGAAAGGGGCGGCCACCACAAAGAAGGAGAAAGAATGAGGAAAGAGCACAGCCGTGGAAGCCCCTGACACGGCCCTGGTCCAGCCTTCACTCGATCGTGCTTCAGAAGTCGGAGCCGGCACCTGAGCTTCCCAAAGTGCCCATCCCAAATGAAAAAATCGTCGATGACCGGGAGGTGATGGACAACGAGCTTTATAAGCTGGCACAAATGGAAGGGATCTAGAAGTGGAAACACGCTGTCTTTCGGGGTTCCGCTGGCTGAGCCGGGCTATGTAGTGGGCGAGGTTGCTTGCATCGTCGTTATTCCTGACCGATTCACTTTCAGAGGCTTTGGCTTGCCTGGAGTCTCGAGGGGGGTGGCTGGCCTTTGTTGTCATTGCTGCTCCTGTGCTTTTCCATCCGGCGCAGAGCACATTCCGCACTGTGTCTCCTCCCTGTCCCCTTTTCATGGTGAGCTGTGCGTCGAAACGAGGCGTCGAAGAACAAAAGACAACTGAGCCTGGGTGTAAGACTGACATGCATGCTTGCGATGCTGCATGTTGCTGCTACGGTAGAGCTTCTTCAATTTCTGACTGTGTCCAGGGTTTCGCTGCAAACCAAGTTGGAGTCCATAGCGCGTGCGGTCTCACACTCGAGCAGCGTGCACGAAGGAATCTGATGCGTGCTTGGCGGAGTCGGTGCTTACGGATTGTGCAGACTCTTGTGTGCTCTGATAGCCACGGTGCTCCAGAACACTCTCATATTGCAAGGACGACGAGCTATGGCAGCTCTTGGTCGAAGGGACATCCTCGCCGCAAAAGAACCTTGGGCCTCATCACCAATTCAAGACCAAAGTCGAGCGGCTTCGAGTTTGGTACGACTGAAGGGAGCTTGCTGGCGACCTGCCGCATGCAATGAAATGATGCCAAGAGCCGACAGCCCAAGACGCCGAGAGACCATGGTGTCGCACCGTGCCTGCGCTCCCTTCATCTTCCTCTTCTTTCTGCCGAAGTGGGAGGGTGGTGCCATCGCCTGACTGAAACCGCTCGCAGCTTCCAAATGGCCGGAGCGCAACACTCTGAATAAAATCTATGAGTGACATTCTTTAAGTCCCGCCTCGTGCTTCTTCTTCTTGTCATCCCCGTCTTTCTTCTCTTTGTTAGCACCCTGGCCTTGTCCTGTTCCGACAACTTCGACACCGACAACAGCTTGGAAACGGCGCCACGATCTCAGTCCCTCAATGGGCCTCCCCCGGCACCCGGCATTCCGCCGGGAGTGTTTCCCATGGCTGTCCTGTTGCAGCTCAGACTGCGTCCGACAGCGGCACAAAGCTTTCTGGTGACATGTGCATACTGGCCTTCTGCTTACCCCCCGCCAGCCCCTACCGAATTTATTAGCTGTCCTTGAGCCAATCCCTGCAAACACCTCAATCAACACGCATGGGACCAGCTTCGCTTCGGTTGCTTAAGCCTGCTCGCTGTTACACTTTTGCCCACTCTCGGCTGGCAGGATCAACGCAGCCGGAGTCAGGCAGCAATGAGGACCTCGTGATGCCAGTGCAGGCGGCCTTGCATCTCCGAGCAACAACACTGAGAAACGGGCATTGCTCGCAGTACGGGAAGGCAGCCTGGCAGGATACGAGAAGCATCCTCTCCTCCACCAGTCTCGCATGCAGCAAGGCTGCTTGGCTGAACTGGAGAGACTGGAGACATCTGGAGAGCAGTCGCGGAAACCTGCTAACTAGGGAGTTTCAAGATTCAAGTCCTTTGCAGTTGCTGTGGTAATCGGCCCTACCGGTGATGCGGCAATGCATTGCACTCGTCATCAAGTGCGTGGGGTCCTCAGTTACGCATGTGTTCTACCTGGCCTGGATTTGCACTATGATACAGCACAGCACATTCCTCGAATTCAAGCTCCGTCAAAACAGAGAACGAGCGAAAGATCAGAACAGACGGAAGACCATGATGATAAACATCTGTAGGATGCGGAAGCACACAAAGGAAAGCAACCGCTCGACAGCCCTTCCGCGCTAGTGCACAAAGCTCCCCAGCACAAGCTGGGCTAGCTGTATGTCATGGTCCAAATAAGCGACTTCTCTACTTCCGAACAAACAGTTTGCCTCGTGCTTGCCTGGAGACAGAATACGTACAAAACAACAATAAGAAAGCGAGAAGCCATGCCAGGCTGACCCCAAAGTCAGATTTCTGAAGCCTTCGCTGCAACAAGACGCGGGCCTGCAGCTCGGCGGCATCTTGAGTGCTTAATTCGTGGATTGGCACAGCCTGAACCTTTCCACATCTTCTGAGCGCTCAGCAGCCTGGAGCCTCATGCCAAGGTCAGCCACTTCCTGCTTCGAATCGGCAAAGCACAAAACGATGTTGCACTGCAACGACTTCCGTTTGAAAAGTGCGAGCACCGCTGACTGTTGGCACCTCATGCAGCTCCATTGAGGACGCTTCGAGCTCGGCCACTTGTGCCTGCATTGTCTCGATGTCCTCTGGAGCCTGCACGATGCATTTGACATGCCAACAAGTCGCAGTCATTGTTCCTTTACGCAAGTCTTGCCGGGACAGTGATCAAGTTTGACGGTCATTCTTCAAGTCTGACGTCGCCAGTGGCTGCGTCACTACTGTAACCTCGTTCGAGCTCACTTTTCTCGCCCCTCAAGGACTGGTGGCCCGGCCTTGCCTTCTCAGGCAGATCTGCTAAGAGACACCCTCATTTGCAGTTCTTCTTGAAACCCTGATCGCTTCTCAGGGCTTTTGCAACCGAGTTGCGCCCCGTGCTGCAGTATGGTAGAATTACATAGTACGGTGGTATGTCTGAAATCTGAGCAAAGCCGTGCTTAGTGGAACCGCACAGCGTCGAAATGCCTCGGCATCCCAGATAGTGGACTTGGTATGCTGCAGTCTCGATATCTCTTCTTCGACGAGATCGAGCTCCGCCTGCAAACCATTTGTTGTGGAATCGAGCCTGCAAGAACCCTTGTCCGTGGCCTGTAGCTTGAGGGTCTCCCTCCAATCCACAAGAAGCCTCATGCGAGGCGTGCGCTTCATCGGTTGCTTACACTTCGGCGCCAGCCTCGCCTTGAGGGCAACGGCAGCAAGGATGCTCCAGGAGCGAAGTTCTCTCCTCAAACTCGCAAGAACGGCAGTGAACTGGCCGCGGGCCCGATCTGCGCCGATTCGCTCCTCCTCCCGCTTCTGCATTGGCTTCATTGCTAAGAAGACTGGTGCAGTACTCGGCTGCAGCCCGAAGCTTGGCCTTTGTAGAGCCACGGAAGTTGCAAAGCCTCCTTTTGAGTCAAGCTGTGGTCCCTGCCGCACCGTCCTCAGCTGCTTTGTTCTCCTCGCGATGAGACTCGTAGGATACTGGCACTGAGGGGACGCATGCACAAGCAAGAAGTCTGCCGGAACTGTCCTCATGGACCGCTCTTTGCCCAGCAGTGATTTCTTCCCTAATCTCTTCTGCCTTTCAGACGGCCGCATGCTGCCGTTCCGGCAATTGCAAACCCGGCGTGGCCTTCCGATTCCTTTCAGCCACATCTCTTCGATCCTGCATTTCGTCCTCAACTGCCTGCACGGTCTGTCGCAATCTATCGCCTGTTGCGCATGGAACATTCGGATGATTGGCCTTGAGCTTGCTGCGGAGTTCTTCCACGGTGTCGGCAAGCACGATGTTAACCTGCCGATCTGCAAAAATCATGCATTACTAGGGACTAGATTTCACTCCAAGGCAAAAAGGGCAAAAAGGGCTGGGCACGTCGCCTGGGACACCTTGGCCAGCTGTTCCGTCCCAAGTCCCTCCGAGTCCAAGTTGGGACCTCGCCGTGTCTTCGTGGCCCCGATCGGTGCGGGTAGTCGCTCGCTAGGCTCGCGACACTGACTCCAAGCTTTCCGCATTGCATCTCTCCGCTGCTGCGCCGCCTGAAGTTGCGGGAACGCAGCTTCTCAACAAAGCCGCCTAGTGATACTTGCAGGACACCACTTCGGCCTGGCTCTTCGCGAGCTCCAGGGCAGCGTGCTCGGAGGCGCCGGCGCTCTGGGCCCGGTCCAGCGCCGCGAGCTCTTCTTCGGCTCTTTCACGGAACGCATTTTGCATCTTCTTACGGTCAGCTTCCCACTTTTGGATCATCGCAAGCCCCGTTGCGCGATCGTCGCCCTTTAGCTCCAGACAGTACAGGTCGCCTTTCAAGGCAACGATGTCCAGTGGCTTCTCTCCCGCTTGGCCGCCGTAGCCCTGCCGGCTTAATGCTGCTTGAAGCTGTGGTTCCAGTCCGAAGTCGCTGGCTTCAGCATGCACCTTCGACCAGAACTTGCCAGAATCGGTGCTCCCATGCAGACCTTTCAGAGCTTCTATCAGTCTTCCTGCCTGGGCCCTGACTCTAGCCTCAAGCTCCAGTGGGTCTCTTTGCTGCGCTACACCTTGCACAGACTTGCGCAGCTTGCCTTGTGCTTCACGGAGCTGTGATTGACCTTTCACCAGCTGCTGGTGTACCTGGTCTTTGGCTTCCTTCAGCTTGCTGATTTGAACCGCGTGTGCTTCCGATGTGGACTTGGTCCACTTGCTCACATCCTCTTGGAGCTCAGAGAAAGCGCTGGCAACGCCTTTCCCTTCGCTGAGGATGGAGTCCTGCTTGGATTTCTGGATTGATAGACGCTGGTGTAACTCCTTCACGACCTTCGCCAATCGATCGACCTCGCCGCTCTTGATGCTTAGACGGTGTTGAAGGTCATCCACGGTGATTGCTGGAACACCCTGTTTACTCGTTGGCAGAGCAGCCACCTGCTCATGAAGCTGGAGTCTGGCAATCTGCTCCTGCTCCTTAATCGCACTTTCCAACTGACGCCGATGAACGTCCAGCGAGCTGTTTTCTTTTTGGAGCTGGTCTGCACGCTGGACGTAGCCTGCAAGCACATTGCTGAGTGCTGCGGCTGTTTGCAGCCCTGGAGCCCAGGCCTCCGCTTTTTCTGAAGACTCGCGACTCTCTGAATTCTTCAAGGCACGCTTAGCACCCGCAATCTCTAGCTCAGCCGCAGTGCAGGCTGCTTCAAGCTCTTCCTTGGTTTCAGGACATGTGACCACATCTGACACCTTCTTTCGCAACTGTGCAGGTGGCTCCCGCCAGTAGCGATGACTGTAGCAACTCTTGCATAACAGCTCCCCGTCTGCTTGGAAGAGGTCAGCCGCACTCTTGTGACAGGACGAACACTGTGCAGCGGCATTGGTCAGAAGGGCATCTAGCGCATTCGTCGCCAGCTCCTCGGACTTTTCTGGACCAAGGCAGTACCTTAAGGCCTCAATCATCACGTCCTGTCTGCCAAGTTCGTTTTGGAGGCGCTTGAACTGGCCAGTCCTGTTGACTTCTTGCCCACGCTTTCGCAGCAAGAGGTTCTCTTTCTGCAGCTTCTGGATAGAAGTCATCAAGGAGTTAACCTTCGAAGCTTGCAGTCGATTCGATGCGGCAATCCTCGCCTCCCAGTCATGTCGCAGGTCTTGTCTCTCCACAAGAGCTTCAGAGTGGAGAGCATCTGCCGCATCTGCCGCGTCCGCGGCTTGCTCTGCCATGGCTGAACAGGACGCACGCATCACCCGCTCGAACCAAAGCGGCCCGCACATCATCGACGATCCAAGCCGGTGCATCAACGCCACATTCCCTTCGGGGCTTCCCCATTCCTGTTTTGCTGCCATCGAGTGTGCCAACTGGGAGCTGGCTGGTCTGCGAGCTGTTCGGCCTGCTCAGAAGCAGTTGATCGAAATATCGAATGCAACCGCACAGATGGGGAATGCAGCATCTCGACAAAGATCCTGACCTTACTGCACCTCTGCAGAGAGACCCGCGACGGCAAACGTCTCCTGCGACCGGTCACAGGCACCCTGGCACTCAACTTTCGACAAGTTATCGCGGCCTCCATCCATCCAGGCCGGCTTCTGGCGTTCCAGTCCTCATCCGCACATTCAGCAAAGCTGCTGCTGAGCAGGCACTGCAAAGTCGGAAGCACAAGATTGCACAGGCCAGGGCTGACATCACGGTGGCCTCGGTTCTCGTTGCTGATGAGGCTTGTTCATCCAGTTCCAGAGATGCTGACTCGCCAGATTCATCCGGGGCAAGCACATACAGCCTTTCAAGCCGTGCCACATGTCTAGGACCGTCACATAGGACCGACCTGTCGACAGATGAAATAGCAAGTCGAAAAGCGGGCATGTGGCCATCATGAATGCTGCCTCTGCATGCGTGTTCGCAGCCCAGCTCGCAAAGCTGCGAGCCGGGCGACATTGCGAGCACATGCGCCCGCCTGGCAGGCCGACAACTGCGAGGTCCGAGAAACCATCTCTCCTGGGAACCTCGGGCCTGCTTGACGAACTCTTCTTCTGTCTCTGTGACCAGGTCCTTTGTACCACTCTTCGAGGCAGGGAGACTCGAAATTAACCTTAGCGAGCTGGGGCCGGAGCACTAAGCTGGACGGCCGAAAGCAAGGAAGCCCCGACATTCTGTGCCTTGGTCAGGTGCATTGCCTCCATTCTGTCATGCCCAGAACAACCAGTCTCGATCAAGTAGCAGGCAAAAGAGCACGCAAGGTGTCAACGCTTTGAAAAGATGTAGCGAGGTTGTTCGGTGCATACGTCGCATGAACATCATTGAAAGGGAGCTATGATAGAACGACCCTGCCACCCTGGTGTGTACAGAGCCGCTGAGCAGAGAGGCGGGCCCGGCCATTGGTAGGCAGTTTCCAGAGAGTATTTTCTGTCATTGTGCAAGCAGAGAAAAGTCTGCTGCCCAGGACATTGCTGCCCAACTTCAGCGTTTGCACCAAGCACCCGGCATGGATGCCTCGACCCTTCAGAGTCACCACAGGCACCCCCATGTACAGAGCCTGCACCACATGTCTTGACAAGCTGGGAATGTAGAGTACGACCTGCCACTGTCTCGTGGGCACAAGCCTCACATGTCGTGGTGGTTCCAGCATACGGCGCCGTATCCAGAGCCACATCAATGAAGCCTCAGTTTGCAACAAGCAGAATCTCTCACGAAACTACTGCACATGTTCCAAACCGCTGGGGCAAGCTGCTGTACATGTGCAGGTGACTTCCCGTTTGAGGTTGCAATCCTGTCCTCGGCACTCAGGACTAGCCTGCATGCGACAGAGGCACATCGAGCAGCCACAGTTACAGTAGAGCTCCCGGCAGATCCAAGCGAGCAGCTGCGATGCCATGCCTCGTAGGTCGTCGGCTAATGAAGTCTCCGTCATAGGAACCGAACTTCTGAGCACAGCCGAGCTGCATTGCAAAAGCTCTCCGCATCTTCTCTTGGACCTTGGGACATGCGAGAGCCTGCCAAACGGAACACGGAGCAGACACCAAAACCTCTCACCTTCTCAACTCACGTGAGGGGCAGTTTTACGCAGTGCGACTCGAGAGTGCTAGCAGGAAAGAAGTGCGCCTTCGACTTAACGAAGAGTCTGGCGTCCGGCACCTGCAGGGACAGGAGGGAGGGAGGTGCGTGTCATGCAGATGTGCTTACACCGTGTTTTCGGAGTTGCACTGCACCGTGTAGCAACCTCATGCAGGACTTTGCTCCAGAGTCTGATGGTCAACGTGCTCACCTGACAACTGGGACGAGATGGCAACACTAAATACATGCATCTTCACAAAATACCGTTCCTTGGCCAAGTTGTTGAAGCAGCCGAAGGTCACACACCCGTAGCTTTCCTGAGCCGGCCTCGAAGGTGCTGGGAAGTCCAATGCAGTTCGTCCTGTCTACTTTTGCCCAGCCACTTCAACAGCACCGGAGGCGCCGAATCCGGAGGCGTGTAACACAGGAAGCACTCCTGCAAGATATCAGCCCCGATGAGGTACCCCTACACCACACACACCCCGCACCAAGCTTATCCCAAGACTGGCAACTACCGTCACTCTGTACACACGTTATCCCCCGGTCCGGCAAGTAGAGGAGCTTCTCTGTGGTCAGGCCTTGTGGACAGAGCTTACCAGAGTCAACTGATTGGCTGGGGTCGGCGCAGCGGCAGGCAGCTTCGTGTCGCCTTGTGCGTATCTGCCCTGTCTGAGCCCTCGGGTCTGACAGCTGTTCCGCGTTCTGTGATGCGAGTCAACTGCCCTGTCAAGATTCCGCGGCGCGTTCGCGAAACAGCCCAGCGCTCACACAAGGCAACATGCCCCAACTCTCAAAAAAAATGTTCGTAGCAGAGGATAGCAGCCATGCAGTGCTGCGGGACAAGAAATCAGTTTGGTAGCAGATCCGGGGACGACACCGGGCGCATCCTTCGGGTCGGCGTGCCTCAGAGCCGTCAGAAGCCAGGTGCACTGCACTGCAGGGGTCATGTAGTCGGGAAGCTCATCGGAGATTCTGTAGTCCATCCGGGACAGCCCAGTCGTGTGAGGGTAGCCCAACCAAGTGATGCAGACCTGCCACGATGCTTCCTGCATATTTATTTTCGCACTGCGCCGTCTCAATCATGCCAGAGGGACCGGAGCAGGTTTGCAGGCAAACACACCAAGCCTGTTGTTGCCGGTGTGGCCAGTCAAGTCTACGAGAATGTCGATGCCATCCTGGAAGGAAGTGGACAGAGCGTTATCAGTGAGCCATGGCTGAGGGTTGCTGGGCTGCAGGCTTCCCAGATGAGCTTGGCGACCTTTACATGCGTGAAGCTGTGGGGGCGTCTCTGTAGCTTGGAAGCGGTGCCTCTTCATCTCTGCGGCCGCAAATGTTCCTCCATCGAGGAACCAGGCTGCGGAAGTGGCGGGTTTTCTCATCCTCCAGGACGACGTCACTGTAGCCTCCAGCAGATCATTCTCGGCGGTGCGCGTATGGACTGATGCACAAACCCAGCCCTGAGTATCCTGCATACAACGTCGACAAAGGCAGGATCATGGTACTTGAGCGCTGCATGGATGAAGTAAGAAACCTTGGATTCCAGGGCAGGTGGAACGACAGGCTACAATAGACCGCAGCAACATCAACTGAACACTCCTCCTGAGACTGCCGCAGAGTGCGAGTAGAAGTCGGGAGAGACGTAGCCCACACGTAAAGGAGCAGCGGCTCCCTTCTGTGCATGGTCCCACCGGCAGAAAGCCTCGCTTCGGTCGGACAGTTCGGTGGAACGCCTTCTGTTTCATCGCCCATCCCCAGGCCTGCCCGATCCTCTGCTCCAGACACCTGCCCCAGCTTCGATGCGCCTCGGGCGATGTCACAAGGCACATTGTGCCAAGCCAGCAAAACGGTCCAAACGGCGACACTCGGGCCTCAAAGACCTCTTCAGGCAGTCTTTCGGACTGGTAGTTCAGAGACATGAGGCGGTTGGAGCCTGCATGCCGGTTCCTGACGCGGCATCGGACATCATCGCGGACGCAGCGCAGTAACAAACGAAGAAAATCTCTCGTCTGCCGAGCGACTCCGGCTCCAGACCTGCAGGCACAGAGGAATGGACGACTTCGACGCCGCTAGAAGGCGGGGGGACACTTTCACGGTCTCAAGACGGTTTTTTGTCTGTCTGTGCAGGCCCAGGTGCTTATGCAAAGGTCAAGGTTCTCGAGGCAAGCGTCGACGTCCTCGACAGCCGGATGCGCGAAATGCATTTGTGGAGAGCACGAAGTCATGCACATATTTCTTGCTGCCCGAATGCACATTGATCTCGGAGAAGGAGGGCCAGATTATTGTAGGCCTGCACACGTCGACACGTCAAATGGCTACTTCCTCGGAATTCCGTCATATTCCGTCACATCCCGTCAGACGGGTGGATGGAGAGAGATTAAGGCGCCTCTGCATCCTGGCGACCAGACTCAATGGCCACTCTGGTGAGGCGGATGGCATCCGCCTGACAAAAAGCCGCCGCAAGCGCGAGCTGAGATGGATATGGTATGGTCTGGTGTATGGTGTGTTGTTATGGTGTGTTTTTTGGCATGGATACTGCGTACACACCTTTGACCCATGCAAAGTTGGCTGCAGCAACTCATCAACCATTCAGCAAGACAATGTAGGCGCCAGCCCCAGTGTGCCGTCGTTTCACTCGACCCGCCATGCGTGCTCGTGGGAAACAGCAGCACGGCACCGGCAAAAACACAGGTACAAACTTGCAGGAGCGCATAGCGCGGACTGCAAATCCAGCATGTCACAGTGTCGGCAAGCAGACATGACAGCCACACACATTCTGACGATCGTTCTCCGACTCAAGCTACTCGGGGCCATCTTACAGCGATTTCTACGGGAGCAGTTGCAGGTGGATCTTGTGGAAGAACCACAAGTCCGAGATACCCCACATGGATAGGCATGCCGTTACTTCGGGAGTTCGCTTCGGAACTCCGATCGCAACGAGAATATGTGATGGGACTTGGCTGCGCTTTTCCTCTTTGACGGGGTCGGATCATGTTCCTATCGCGGTGCGACAGCGACAGCCAGCCCTGCCAGGAACCAGTCAGTCAGTGACGTGCAAATTGACAATGTGGAATTCTTTGGCCTCGAACATGGAATCATGATGCACTGCTTTTCGTAGAAACGATCCGTGGTGGAAACCTCCACTGCCCTTATGCCGAACTATGTCGAGCTTGATTGTTGCTAGACATACCCCCTCGTTCACTTCATGCTAAGTACCTTTGTGCCGGTCGCCGGTCATATATTACCGAGTGGGCCCATCATGCACAGCTGATTGTGCTCCGGCGTTCAGCTTTGAGCTGACAGCTTCATGCACAACTTCATGACACCCAGCGTTCATTTGCCCTGATGTCTGCACACAATCTCGAGGTTTGTTTAGATGCCCAGCACAAGCAACATGGAATCTAGGCCCGACATGAATGGATTTTGGAATGAGGCGGAGCCAGATATGCAGCACACACAATGCGGTGCTGTAATTCGTGTCAAGGGCACCATTCGGCCCATGGAGCCGTAAATGGCCCCGAGATTCTTGTTGGCGAGGTTCATCTTGCTGTCCACCTGAAGGATAGGTGGGACCGAGCAGGAGGAGAATCGAAGATTTGCGAAAAACATGGCAGCACACCTCGAGTGCGCTCTCGAAGCACTTCATGGCTGCCTCGACGTTGCCGAGACGCCTTGAGACTTCAACTCCACGACTGGGTTGAGTTGCAGATCATATCAATTATGTCACATCTCTTCAAAAGCTGTCGAATCGCTGCGAGCAAGCCTAATCCCTGGGACAAGCCGGTCGGCTGCCTTTGGAGCGGATGGCATCGACCGTCGCAGAATCCATGCTTGCAGTATGAGTCTTTCAGCTACTGCAAAATCCTGTACATAAACCGCTGCAGTTGGTATAACTGTTGGTATAAACCCAACACCGCTCCAGTTCTCAGCAACAGCAGATGAATTGCTATATCCAAGAGGATGATAACAAACGCGAACACCCATTCGTAGGCTTGCACCTCAAACAGAGGTGCTTCAAACCAGAGGCTGCTTTGCGGCCCCAGAGCTAGGCTCCCAACTTTGAGGAGCGGCAACACTTGCCCTGTAACAGGGAGGCAGATGACATCAAGGAAAGCTCTTCAAAATCACATGACCTCACAAGCGTCCATGGTGCAGCCCCGCTCTGTCTTCAGGTCAGTCTCCTCAAGGCTCGGTTAAGCACAGTCGTCGGAACATAAATACGAAACTCCAAACGCCTCTCGATTAGTCAGTACCTAAACTATCCTAAACTCATCCAGGACTCAAAGGTGCGGGGTCGATGGACAGCTAGACGGGATGCCAACTCGTGGCTGCTGGCATGCATGCAGGAGCGCGGGAGCCTCACCGCAAGGAAGGCTCGACTCGAAGAAGGACAGTGGCAGAATGCAGAGCGCTCTTTTCGACAAGACACGAACATCTGATCGCTTCACCTTGCTTCACTTCCCATGGAAAGATTCTCGCGACGCATGCAGGCTGGCTCCTAAGTTCATGGCTTGTCTCGGGAAGATGGCGGGCTTCACTTTTCGAGGGAATCATCGAAAGGCGTTCCACCTGCGCTTCAGAGCTCAACGTGACATACCTGCATGCTGCCATGACCCGAGCCTCCAACAACGCAGCTCGTCCGGATGGCCGATGAGAAGCCGAGGTTGTCGACGCAGCCGAAGAGGCAGGTGGCACAGAAGCTACTCTCTGTGCTTCCCACTCTTTCGCCGCTTCCGTAAAGGACCTTATGTGGCCATGCAGTACGGCAGGGAGGTTATGTGGACTAGAAACTCCGGGCCCAAGACGTGGCCCAGGCATCGCTTGGATTCCCAGTGAGCAAGCTAGGGAGGTCCATAGTGGCTTTCTCTGAACTCCGGCATGTGCTGTCTCTATTTCCAGCACCAGGCTGCGACCGACTCTCCATGGCGAGCAGTATAAACGCACTGCTGAATTATGCTGCTAAGCAGAAACCCAGTGTGACTCAACAGATACATGAAGCTGCAACAAGGCAACATCTGCAGGCAGTGTCCGCCTGTGAATGACGCCCAGGTTGTTGTGGGCATTCGCATGTCTTGGATCAAAATGAATCGCGAGCTCGTAGTTGACCTGATAGACTTGGGCTGACTTTTCACGCGAGTGCCCTGAGCAAGCCTGCCTTCGCTTGGTCCCACTTCTCTTTTTCAGCATAGAGCACGCCCAGGTTAAAATAGAGGTCGGCATTCCTGATCGAAATGGCTGTAAAGGTTACACGACTCCCATTAACACCGCGCCTGGAGTTGAAGGACAGCCCTTGCTTCAGGGCTTTGGAAGCTTGTTTTAGCTCCTGACAAGCGTACAGGGGCTTACCTGTCGCAAACGGACCAAGGCAAGAACCTATCCCGGGCCTTTCCCTGCAGGTGCCGACAGCCCAGTTGCAGCAATGCAATGGCCATGTTTTCCCGGGTCTTACTGCAGTTCTGGTTGACCTGACATGGGATTCACAGGCACAGAGGTCTTGCGACTGCAAGACTTGGAAGCAACAGACTCATGATCGCGCTGAGATTCTGGTGCTGTGTAAGTATTAGGGTGATGCTACAGCCGCGTTTGCACGTGTGGTGAGGAGGTGACCCATCTGCTGCTTCGCATGCAACACGTCAAAGCAGGATATGCAAAATGTTCGCACGAAAGACAGAAACAGCATGCATGGCCCCACACCAACCGACTTGCAGGCATCCCGATTCGGGTCTTCTGCTACAGCAATGTCGGTACAATCATGCCTCTTCTGTTTGCTGTGATCGACAGGTGTGTAAGCTGCTTCAAAAACATATCTGAGCGGTGTAACGGTGCAAGAGGTTGCACTGCGGCGCATGTATCGGCAATGTCATGATCCAACACGCGCTACACCGCAATACACGACACACCAGCCCATGCATGAACCGTGCCTTCAGCGCTAAAGCGTAGGCCTCAACCGCGTGATCCCACTCGCCAAGCTCCCTGGTCAGGAGATTGGCACATGCGAACTTGGTGTACTTTACGTTGCAGTGCCAGTCATCGGCTTGCCTGCATGCTACACCGAGATTGTTCAACGCCTCCACGTACCTGCCAGTATCTGCCAGTGCTTCATTGCACAAGCACAAAACAAGAAGAATGCAGAAGTGCAACAAGTGCAAGTGGCAGGGGCACCCAGGTTGGAGCTGAACCGCTTTCGCGTACATCTCTTTGGCTTTTGCAGAGTTATTGGCCTCAAGGGGACCCCGCTTTGTTTGTCTTCATGGCAGCAGCAGCAGCAGCACTTCCCAGCATGGCCTCAGAGTAGTGAACTCCAAGCTGGAAATATGCAGGAGCATACGTCTCACAGGCCTCAGCTGCAAAAATGCGTTTACCCCGTTTTACCTTCCTTGTCGTTTCATTCCAACGGTGCGCCTGGATGGCCTCATGGAAACCGTGGAGGTTGGGCTGACCAGCAGCCTACTATGTATCAGCTTGCATGCCGGTTCCGAGCTCGCACACTTCATGCACAAACGGCCTTCAGCTGTATGGCATCCTCTGTCAGGCAGCGAGCTAATTCCAGCCGCATCTCCTGCAGAAAGCTGTGGTCAGTGATAGGGTCGTTGTGCCAATGTGCCCCGACCTTCTGCGCGGGTAATGCCAGCTCGAGTCGAAGAACCTGGTCCAGGCTCTGGTTCCAGGCAAGCGGACCAAAGGTTTTCAAGGTGCCACCTCGCGGAAAGAGCCTGCAGCTTCCCGCCACCTCTGCTGCCGAGCTAGCAGGAGCGCCTTCGACCACAAGGTGTCATAATGGACCAGCTGAATCGCTGAGGGATTTGAGAAATTTGAGCCATGATCCTCGTGATCCGTCAGTGACAAGGAGCAAACTCCAGCCTTGTTGCGCTGAGCAGCCATGCTCTGCGCATCCAGTCGGAGAGCTGCCTCCGAGAGCATTGCGACTTACTCTCCTTCCCTCCCTCCCTGTGCACTGGAACCCAGTACATAGAAACCAGGCTGCGACCTGCAACTGGCCCTGAAGCTCTCAAAAGGTCGTGCTGAAACCACTAACGATACTTGAACCACTCAATACTACAGATCTAACCACTAACTGAGGTGCTGTGTCCCTAAAAGCCAACAGCCCCAAGACAGGAAAGCACCGAAGTCAGGTTGGAGCCTCATAGCACAACAGTGCTTCATCCAACTTCTCCATGTGTTCGAGGCACTGCCCGCGCCTTTAAATTGATGGCAGGGATTTACTCCCCTTAGATGTCAATAAACTTTCTTGGGAAGCTGACCCAAGATGTAAGTCTGGTCTGCTGGGCTCTATCCGCAAAGCCTACAGGTGTTGCGACACGGGGCTCCTGCAGTGCCCTGCACCGGGACGCACCTCGTCCACCAAAGGAAGCGCTTCCGCGTGCCTGACATCGTCAGCACTTCCTGCCCTGCACTTGCATGGCACGGCAAACTGCTGCGCGTTGCGCCTGGCTCGAGATGCAAAAAAGTCAGCCCGACGAGTTAACGATTGCACCTGGCTTCAGAGATGCTCTCACGAGGCTTTTCGCAGTCTGTTCGGTCTGGCGATACGGTGGTTTATGCCAGATCCAGCGAAGACGAAGAAGCTTGACGGTTCAAGTCTAGCCCGGCTTCGGGGAGAGGTGGCTCCCTCAAACAGGGTTTACGGTGCAAAACGATGCATGTCATGGTTTGGCTTGTGGGGAAAGCCGGGGCTCTAAATGTTTGGGGTTCCAAGCTTTTCGACTGAAGACCGTTCTGAATCTGCAGGCAGGGGCTGAGTGTGTTCTGAGCCCAGTTGCTTGTATCGGGGTGTTGTTCAGGCTTTGGGGTTGCTAGGGTGAATGTCAGACTTCCCAAGCCTGCAGCAGGAAGACCCAAATTCCCAAAACCATTAGCGGCTCAAATGGTCGGCGAGGACTTGGTCTGTGTCGGATCGGAGAATGTAAAGGCACGAATCGGAAAAGTAAAGAACAAAACACAACTCGGAAAGCTGTACCGCAGAAGAGAAAATATGCGAGAATGCCACCATGGTTTCGCCTTACAGAAGATGCCCAGGGTATTGACAAGCAGTGATTGGCCCACTCCGAGAAGTCTAGAGTAAAAATCAGGTACACACACATTTGCGATATCTCTTCGCGCGAGGCATAGAGGGAAGAACTGCAAGGCATGAGAGGAACACGACAAACATGCCGGTGGAACCGATCCATCCTCTCTCTGCGACTCCATGCGGGGACTTTTTGGTCCTTTGGAGCTGTCCCCACACCTAGGCTAGCACACAGATCGCGCGGTGTACGCAGCCTGCACTCGACATACTGCAGTCCGAACCCGGACACCACCTCGCTGGCAAGTACAGCATAACATAACGTTCAGTAAAGGGCATCTTGATTTGATGGACTTAGTTGCCGTCAAGAACTGCTTCGCAGCTCGTGCTGGAAATGCAACGTGTCAAAACTTCAGATTCGTTGGGAGCATCCGAGCGTGTGTGCGCCTTCGACTCTGGAAAGTCTTCAGAACTGTCTTGCGACAAGACCCAGGGAGAGACCGAAATCCTGCCACCGACTTGAAGCATGAAAGCTCCCATGCGTAGTGTTTGTTGGTCGCGGTATCTGCCACTGTGGCCAAGCGTGGGCAGACGGAAACTGGTATGCAGTATGTCTGCCAACGAAGCGCTCTTGCTCAGATCGTCTCAAGGAGGAGCTGCTTGATGCCCTCCTGCTGGGTCTGGAAGCCACCGAGCCAGTCGCCGGCCTAGCCCGATACTCCCGGTACTCTGGGTCCAGAGCCGGTTGTGACCAAGCTCTGGGCAGCTCATTGGTCATCGCAGTCGCAGGCAGGAGATGCACCTGTCCTTGAGGAGGCGTCCTCTGAAATCCCCTGCCGTAGGAGTCCGCGATGACACACTTCGCCGTGTTTACTGTGGCAGAAGGGTCGCCACCGCCCCGTCGGCCCAAGTTGAGCTCCAGAGGTCGGTGCCCTGCCCCGCCCGACGACCAAAGTGCCGGCATGGCTCAAGGCAAAGGCCCAAGGCTCCCAATTGGGGGGCTCCAGGCTCCGTTCGGAGACCTGCTTGAGGCACGGGCACACGGTGGCACGGAAGCAAGAGTTGCCATTTAATCCTTTCGCACGCTGCATACACAACCGGTCCCCACTGTGAGCGCTGCCCCGCGGAGTCTGCAGCCTCGACAGATTTCGCCCCATCTGCCTGCTTTCCAATTCCGCAGAGGCCGTCAAACTACACAGATGCCTGGGCTTCCCGGCCTTGGAAGCATCGCTCTGATGCTTCATTGGCGCGAAAGGTGCTTATGGAAGGCTCTTGCTCTGCGTTTTGGGCAATGTGTAGACTGGTGACTATCAAGGTCAGCTGTTGCGTAAGCTCCGTCAGTGTCAGTCTCCCATCACAAGTTCTCGAACTTGGATGTCCTGAAGGCTGTTTGGCTGGGGAGTCGCTTGAAGCTTAGTGGCTTGTTGTAGTTTTCTCGCCTTTCAACAGAATCGTTGAACCATTCTCGCCTTTCAAAAGACTCGTACCATTCTCATGCAGATCATCTGCTATTTCTGCCTGAGCTGTGTACGGCGTACGGCGTGATAACCGCGAATACATGTGCTCTGCCACACGCAGGCCCCTGCTTCGGGCAACCACGAGACAAGTCTGAACAGCAGCCCAGTTTCGGCAGCTTTGTGATGGAGCCCGCATTGATGGGACCCCAAGATCATGCAAAGTGAAATTCAGATATGACGGCTCGGAACATGCCCATAGCTGTCTCAGAGACCAGTCGATCCAAGTTTGCACGGCATCTTCTGCTCACATGGCCAGATGGATGCTCGTATGTTGGATATCAGTGTTTCACGGCCGCAACAAGTTGCCCTGTGATGCTTCAGATGCTTCGGAAGATCCCGAAGAAAGATGGTCGCTAAAGCTCTTCCATAAGGTCCTCACTGCTGCCGTATTCGGCAGACTCGCCTTTCATGGAGAAAGAACATGGAAGAACTCTTCGGACACGTGCTGAGCAGCACCTCCCAAACCAAGGACCCTCCAGCCTTGGCTGCACAGATGGGCTAACGACGATGCAAAACAATGTGCTACACTTTAAGAACTTTAAGCGATCTGCCCACATACACCAACAGGACTTCGAGAACAAAAACCATGATGTAAAGCAGGAAGAGCATTCCGCAGGCCTCCACGCTTCACACAATCTCAGTCCTACCTACAGCTGTGCGGTGCATAAGCACTGGCCTGTGGCCTGGTGTAGCCACTCCTTGTGCTCACACCGACACAAAGACCGACACCAAGTGTGATTTAAGTTACCGCGTGGTACCAGAATTCTGCACGTCTGAGGCCCAAGCTGCTCTAGCAACTCCACAGTGCGGAATGGATTTGGAGCAGAAAGCAGCGATCTCCTCCTACAGAGCGAAAGTGCAGTCAGCACAGAGGCTTAGCCTCCAACACGGTGCCCTCCGGACCGGGGCGATGACTGGATAGGCTTCCTCGGTTGCTCATCCTCGTCCTCATCCTCCTCTTCTTGACCTGAAGATGTCCACATGGTAGAACATGTGCCCTCAGCTGCATCACCGAGGGACCTAAGGAGGTACTTCCGCTGCCCACTCCGGCTCCGCTGCCGCCGCTGCCCTGGCCACATCGGATTTTGGACAGTCGCCGCTTGGCTTTGTGAACCGGTGCCTCCGAACCGTTCTTGTCCAGCAGGGCCAACTGGGCCTGGCAGCCGCTCTACTTGACACGGAACAGCGACATCAGCCTTTTCGAAGTGCAGCCTCTAGCTGCTTGATTTTCTGCTGGAAGCGTGCCGCCTGATCGTACCTCAGACCGTGCAGGTAGCGAAGCTCGACTTGCACTGTTGTTCAATCCGAGGCTTGGGGGGCAGCTGCTCTTTCTCGACGGCTTCCTTCTTTTTGTGTTTCCTGCGCCGACACCGTTGATGCTGGCAAGGTTGGCAAGGGTGCCCAACTGAGCCGAGCTGCACAATGTCCAATGCTGCCTTAAGGACTGTAGGATTCGAGAAGCTCCTGCATCGGGGATGTCAGGTGACCGAAGTGACGTAAGGAAAATCTTGCCGCCAAGCGTCGACTTTGTCTTCCCTTTGGAGTCCTAGCGCCAAGCGGGACTGACTGACAGCAGTGGCGCTGCAGAACAGCCCGTGGCAGTCGTCCTCAGGGCAATCCTGGTGCAGAACTTCATCAAATCGCGTCAAGAGGAGCAGAGAGCACACCTACGAAACCCAACCTCCGCAGACTCAGCAGTTGGCGCCATTGCCGGCAATCCTATTCTAAGTGTACATCCGGCGTGACACTTGTCTCCAAGCCTGTCAACCTCTTCCAATCAAACTCTTGAGCATGTCTAGTCTAGTGAGTCTAGTTGCTGGTGATGCCGTCAGCTGCACATCGCTCTCATAGTCCCGTTGTCCAATCCTGCTCCGAGCCAAAGTACATCTCACAGGGGTGATCTGCATAGTGATCTTCAGAAGAAGGCAGGAAGGCAGGCATTTTTGACGCACGACTCGACCAATGTGTCCCGTTGCGGAAGTCCTGGCCGTCCAAGCCATAGATCTGCTCAGACTGTCCCTTCCAGGTAACCCTGCCAAGCCTTGGGCGACCGCACGTGCGCCTTTCAAATACGGCAATGCGCTCTGTTGCACAACTTCCGACACTGCAACGCACCGTCTGCGGCACCTGTCTGGTGGAGAGATGCTCGGCCACACCTGCTCACACGGCCACGGTTGACAAAAACTCCAATACCGAACTCTGAACATTTTCTGTCATTGCAGCATGCGAGATGGACACGAAATGAACCCGAAACCCGAATTGTGACCTGCCGATTTGAGCAATCCAGACATCGACGAAGGCTTCTTTGCCAAAATGTGAATGCAAGCGCATTGTTTTAGAAGCAAAGGCAGGGGCTTTGCGTCTCTTGCTGACACGTTTTTTCGCTTCCACAACCCGTGACAATGTACTGAATTTTCTTGGCGGGAGGACCCAACCCAAAGCAATTCATGTCCATATCCCCAAAACTTTAGCCGAAAAAATTATGCTGGGAATGCTTGGGGCCTCTGACAACTCCACAGTGCAAGCAAAGACTCGCTTCAACATGCAAGCATGTGCAAACGGCATGCCGAGCTTGGAAGGGGCCTGGAGCAAACTCTCGCCTACGCCGGCTGAAACTTCGGCTCCTTCAAAGTCATAGACACTGGCTCCCGATCAGCTGAAGCACACTCAAACGAGTTGACTGCAACACGAAACAGCTGGATCTTTGCAGTTGGTGAGCTCCTGCTGCGGACACACCGCTCTCTGAAGACCGGCTCGGTTCCAGAAGGGTCCTCCCACAAACCATGCAGCATGTACCAAGACAATGGGGTCTCTGCACCGGACACCATGCGCCGATAACAGTGGTTCACGAGGGATCCATGCGTTCATGATTGTGCTCGAAAACCCTGATTCCGAGATCAGAGACCTGAGAACCGTGTGCAACCGGAACAATGACGTAGCAGCACATTGCGCAACGAAAGGTGAGATGGGGTGCTTTGGGCGCACAGGGAGCCTGGGAGGTGCCACGAAGGCGCGCCCCGATCGGAACGCCTTTGCGGTTGCGCTCTATGGAAGACGGTGGGCAAACGACTCCGTCTCCAACTGAGCTTCCGGCCCTTGCCTGGCGTGGACGTCTCCCTTCTAATGCTGGCATTAGACGCAGAAATGCGCAGAAAAGCGTAAGCTATTGCAGCGTGCCTTTTGCTTGGTCGCACGTCTCGCTCGGAACTCCTTGCAGACAGCCCTGCGCTCTCTATGGAAGATCTGGCAGAAGTCATCTGACCTCACGACCCCCGTCTTTCGAAAGCATGCTGCGTGACTATGTGAGACAATTAGCCAAGTCACCATAGTCATCAAGATACCCCATGGACGGGAAATCGATCGATCGCATCCGTGCTCCAATGGGAGTTGGGACCTCAGTCCGCTTTGCTGAGCCGTTGCTATGCTCCGACGTCCCGAGAATCAAATCTTTTCCGTGACGCCTTCACGCCAAGTGCGGCCAAAATGCTGCTGTCCTCGAGGGAACAGCTCTTTGTCTGTCGCCTTGACAAAATTCGCAGACAACAACGAGTCCGCTCACAACGCCGGAGAATTGTTGGGCTGAGAATGGCGCAAAAGCTTGCAGAGGTTGCCAAACAGTTGTGCTTGAATAACCTCTTTCAAACCTGTTCCCCTATCTTTATGCCACAAACCCAATCACCCCTCCGAGATTTCTGCATGCTACCTGCTCACTCGACACTCATATAATGGCAATATGTGAAGCTTTCAAAGGACGTGCGATTGAAGCAACGCGCCATGTCATCCATGCAACACGTGAGCCTTCGGACTTAGCACATGCTAGATTCATATGTGTGCAACCAGGGAACATCGTGCAGAGGTGTTTCCGTTTCAACTCGTGCTGTCTGTTCTGATGCGATGCCCAAACGCCCTGAGCGTGGTGCTACGTGCTGACATTACCGCTACGTGATTCTGCAAAGAGTTGGATCTTTGCCTGGCCTGGACTTGCTCCGGGTTTGGGGTTTGCGCTTAGGCAGACCGGGGCGATAGAGGCTTCGGCCGGTTTGCAATTTAGGATCGGTTTAGGGATTAAGGGTTTATGCATCTGGCAAACTGTAGGCTTTGGTTTCTTCTCGCCTCCAGTTCCGGGCCCAAGGCTTTGGAGCTTCGAGCTGGGGTTCGTCACCGAGTCTTGCACTGTGATTTGAAGTTTTCAAGCTTAGGCTCCAGAGTTGAGGGTTTTCGAGTTTATGATTTCAGACCTTCAGGGCTCACCTTAGGGAGTGTTAAGTTGAAGCAAAACTCCACCTTTGGCTGAAGCCTTGGGATCGCGAGTAAAAATCTAGAGGTGAGCCGTGCGCGTCTCCTTGGGCTTTACTCTGTAGGGCTCGGCATTTAGGCATGTAACGGCTTCGGACCCAAAGCTTTCAGTCTACGGTTTACCTTCAAGTAAGCTTCGTCCTTATTCATGGCTCATGGCTTTCGGGTTCCAGTTTGAGGGCTTGAGGTCAGGGGTTCTGTCCTTGAATTGCTTACGGTTTGAAAATGTGAGTTTAGCTTTGAGCTTACGGTTGAAGCTATGGGTTCAAGGTTTAGGGTTTATCATGGTTTGCCCCTAGGCCTCAAAGTTTGGGAGCGTAGAGGTCTCAGGCTGGAGGTTTGCGTCTTCGGGTTCAACTCGTACATACATACTTCGCCCTCACCTTTCCAGGCCTGCGGGGTTGTAGACTCTGGCCTTCGACTTAAGGGGTATTGTGGGGTGCTGTAGGTTTAGACTTGCGGCTTCCGACAATGATCTCAAAGTTCTTCCGACTGGCTCAGGGTGTGCGGTAGAGGGGTTTGGGAATCATGATTTACAGTTTCGAGGTTTGTGGTGAGAGGGTTTAACTTCAGGGCGAAAAGAAACAGGACTTAGGTAAGTGGAATTACACTTAGTGCTTCGCTTCGAGGCTGTAGGTTTGGGGTTCGGGAGTTTCGGTATGCAGGGCGAAGGGTTTAGATTTCAGATCCTGGGATTCAGTACGCACTTCAGTTGGTTGAGAGTTCGAGAAGTGGCGAGCCTCCAGAAGACTCCGCAGATGGTGACCGCCTAAAGGCAGCTGAAAGCAAGCAAGCACCACGTCAGATGCCCGCTGAAACAAGCAAGACCCCAGAGTCTTGACCGCTCCTGCGTTTGCGTCTTTCTGCAAATTCCTTCGCGTTAACCGGCAACATCGGCAGGCGTTGCTGTGTCAAGAACATCGCTCCTCCTCGTCAACCGGGTCCATCGCATCACCCACCAGACTCTGAAACCTTGTCAGTCAAGCTTGCTGATGTTTGTAGACAGTCTATTCCAGCATCGAACAAAAGCGTGCGATGCCGTGCTTGCTGCCTGGCCAACAGCGAGGAGGCCGAAGGGGCGTTGTCCGGCATGCTGTGAGAGTCCTGACAACTGAGCAGCCCCGCGAACAGAACGCAACAGCCAGACTCGCCTGCTCTGTCGCCGGCGGTGGCGGGGCACTTGCTTTTTTTGCATAGCCAAGCACCTGCTTAAAGAGAGAGTAGGTGTTTAAGATGGTAAGACACCAAGTTAGAAGTGCCTTGGGTTGGGGAAGAGGCGTGCTTTCTGACTTGAGTCCCGGTGGCCGAGCCGCCGGTGTCACTCCGTACCTAAGCCAGAGATTGCCTGCTCTGCCAATCCGGGCACACTCGAGCCGAGGCCGCAGCTTCTCGCAGATCCTGTCGTACATCTCCTCTTCACTGCCAGAGTACTTCTCCATCAGGTGTGGGACCTTATAGGGCTCATTCGAGTATCGAACTATCGCGCTTCGAGCCGAAAAGACGCAAGTGAGACTCTGACATCTGCCAGTTTTTCAGGGTTGTGCTGCTGGTATACCTGCAAGGAGTGCCGAAAAGATCCCCCGCGTTTATCAACTGCCCGCTGCGGCGGCTGAGCCACGCGCTGCTCGAATCTGTAGCCCGTACCACTGTTCTTGGCCGTCGTGTGCGGACGACAGACATGATGCCAAGATGCGCCCTAGTGCAGACAAGGTTCCTGCAGATAAGTTGGGGCGCAAGTTAGCGAGAGTGGAAGCCAAGTGCGACTTCGCAGGCGCAGGCTTCGTTGTAGGGGTAGGCCTGCAACGGAGACACGAAAGGGCAGGGCCCGCTGGAGATTCTCCCCGAGCAGTCTCGGCCGTCGGGGAGAACTTACCTTATTCGATTCTTCCCGAGGGCCCGGCACGCGCTGTGCCAGGTGGGAGGATGGCGCAATGGCAGTCTCTGGTGCGACGTGGTCAGCCGGTTGAGCGGGAAGGCTTGAAGCTTCCCGGGAGTCCCAGGAATGCCTTTTCCTGGCATTGCTCGACATCGCTCAGATAACGGGAAAGCATGGGATATCTGTATCGCACTCCTGCGGTCAAGCGGCCTCTCAAGCCTGACGATTGGAGGGGCAGCGCTTGCCTCCCGACTTTGAAACTCGAAGACCATCGATCCACTAGCCGCCAAAGCCCATCTCGGCATGGGAAGATAGCTTAGTACAGAACGGCTGAAACGTTCAATGAAGAGTGCAAGGCAACTCCGACAGCACCTTGGATGGTGGTGGGGATGTCCAAGCCTCGACAAAATGCAACCAAGCAGACCAAGCACAACCGTACAAACCGTACGGACGCTTTGACGAGGTCCATGGAGTCAGTCATCCTTGCCTTGGGCTCGTGTCTGGCAACCCCGAAAGCGATGCGAGGCCTAGCCGCACGCTCCTCAACAGACAGAAAACTCTGCCTGCTCAGCAAAACACAAGCACTAAGAGCAATCCTCCTGCAACTTCTGATCCGCCCGCCTTTGCTCCTCCACTGCAGAGCTCACGAAAACCTTCCATGTCTTGTCACTTGCTCGAGCCTCCTCGAAACGCTCCCGCTCTTCCTCTTCCTGCTGCCTGCACAAGCAAGACCAAGGCTTCTTTCCTCCAAACCGTCCGCAACGCTTGCAGCAGCTAGCCCCAGACCCCGCAAACCCTAAAACCGAAACTTCAGACCCCGCAGCACTTCCTAAACCAGAAAGACTGCTGGTCGGTCTCTGTTGAACTATGCCCTCGTTCCGGCTGTTCGCGCTGCACATCAGTGCGTGCAGCGCCCGCCGCATGTGAGTTTGGCGATTGCTGCACCTCCTGGCAACTTCTTCGCGCTGCCTCCACATGGAATTCGCTCTTTTCGAGACCTGACTCGAAAGCGAAACCGAACATCTGATCAGCAAAGCACCACCGAGGATCGAGGATCAACCTAACATCGTCCTCGCCTCGTCTTCCTTTCCCATAAGGAGCACTTCAAACTTTCGCAGGTTCTCTTCCTGCATGTTACAAATTCATCTTGAGTTCGGAAGTATGGCTTCCAACGGTAGCCGATGAAATACAGACGTTGATGTTGACGTCAACACGCAATGCCTGGACACCCTCTTTTCTGAAAAAACAACACATCTGATCGGTCCTCTCTTTCCCTCTGAAGCTTCTGCACAATGCGAAGCCTGCAGCAATTGAAGAGGTGCTGAGCCGAGCTTTACTCTTAGAGCAGTCTTCGAATGAAACAGCAGACAGGTCGAGCCGTGACACGTCACAAAAGCGCTGAGCAGGGCTGCCAAGCCTGGCACGCTCCGCCTCGGCTTCACGAGCCTGGCGTTCCTCCTCTCGTTGCCTCCTTTCCTGGCACCGGCGCAGCAGACAGAAGCATGCACATCCTTCCGCAGAGTTGATGTCATCATTGTATGGGGTCATCCCAATCCTACTCAGACCTCTTCGACTTTTCGTTGCTTCTCCTGCTGCCAGAGATACCTTCGTCTCTCCTGGGCTAGGGGCAGGGCAGCCGGAGGTGTAACTCTCCATCTCAGAATGCCTGAACGGCGCCATGGTTTTCTTCTTTGCGCCGGATTTCTTGCTTGACCTGCCAGGCGAGGTCTGGGTCGCCGCAAGGGACTGAAAACCGACTCACGCCTCCTGACGGTTTTCGGCATCATTCAGCTTTTCGTACCACGGAGGCGTAGCCGTGCCTTCTGCTCTCTCCTGCAAAGCCATGTCAGTGCCGAAGAGACTGTGAGAGGCTGTGATCATGGCATGGCATGGCAATCCCTTTTCTGCGCCTGGCTCATTTGAGCTGACTGACTCTTGCGCTTCGGCTCTCCGAAAGATGCATCTGGTTCGTTCGGCAGAAGCGGGCCGTTGGCGTGAATGAGCGAGAAAGGAACATTTTTCCACACCTTTGCGATTTGACTGTCGATCAAAGGCACCAACGTAGCAGACTGACTGACTGCAAGCAAGTGTCGGAACTATCTGCGGCAAAATGCGCAACCACTCGCCTTGTGAGGGGAGCCAGGGTATGAGCAACGCTCAGCAAAGCCGCGAGTCAATAGATGCTTCAACAAGAAAACAGAGCATGTTGACAAGTACCGAGGCCGGCCTTCTCACCACATCAACCGATGTGATCACGACCTCATGATGCCTCAGATTGCTGTTGTTTTCGGTTGCATTAAGTTGAAATCAAAACTGCGACAGTTAACCAAGATGCGTCTGCTGTGACTCGGACCACCAACGGCACTTGGATCCGACCTGTACGGCGCACATAACTCCGATCCGGCAGTTTCGCTTTCTTCCCATCGCCAATATATTATTCTTGCCTGGATCCAGTTTGGGATGCTTGCATCCATAGCTGCGACATGAAAATGCTAAGGCCGCACCCAACCGTGCGGGCATCTGGTGCATCAACCATTCAAGCTATGCTGACCAAAAGGCTCGAAGCCTCCTTCAGAGATGACACTCAAAAGACGGGACTTCACCCAGTTTCATCCACACATGTTTGTGCTTTTGCACATGATGTTAAGTTCACGAGGAGCTGGGACAAGTGCAGCATAGAGCAACAGTTAGCAGTCCATCTGTTGAGCGTTCGCGAATGTCCTGAAAGCTTCTGATCAGATCAGGCTCAGAGCAGGTCGTTCGCTCAAATTTTGTCTGACATGGAACACAGCTGTGCGCCCGTCCCATGCTTACTACCCAGCGACCCGTCGCTCACAAGGTTGTCCAAGCAGGACATCTCATTTGACCTCACAACTTTTGCAGAACCCGCTTCAACGGCAGAAAACAAACAGGTCTAATGAATGGACCTGCTTTGCTTCTCGGCGACAACTGTCTTGCAGCGACTCTGTGTCCACCTTTTCGAATCGAGCAGTGCCAAAAACATGTCCGGTGGAAACACAACAGCCTCGTGTCCGGGGAGGTGCACGTATCGAACTACGGATCCTGGCAGCGACAAGAAGAGTGCAGCAAATGTGCCCTGACACGCGAAGGAACACACCCTGCAACACGCATGGCCACGTGGCAGGGTCCTCGAATGAAGCAGTTTTTGACTGACAAGAGATGCGGAAATCGATCCGGATCATTCACGCTGACCTGAACACTGACCATGCACAAAATCCAAGCTTTCAAAAGTTAGTTCTCCATGTCATCCCCACTCGATTTGCAATCTCTAGGTCCGTGCATTGGCAAGTTTCAGGTTCAAGAACTGGTCGGCAGACTGCAATGTTCCTGCTCCGCACATCATTCTCACTCCGTGAGTTCCAACTCAAATTTATTCCGTGAGTTCCAACTCGAAGCCAACAATGCGAACCTGTTATGCACAGGTCGTTCTTCAACTCCACCGTTACCTTTGCCAGGACGCATGATCTTCAGCTGGCTCTCAAGCTTCTTATCTACATGAGGTGCAACAACGTTCTAAGTCTCTAAGTGAAACAATTATTACGTCGCGGTGGCCTGCACATTCCGGTCAACCAACGTTCTGAAGAAGGAGAAGAACAGCATATTCAGACCTGAGTCGTGCAATTGCTGGTCTGAGCCGGAGCTGTGGGCACGAAGCAGTCATGAATTGCGCGCCTCTTGCTGGAGCGCTGTGAAACCTGTATGCCCCGAGGACGAGGACGCCGGCTCGTTGCTCGGAAACAAAATTACCCACATTGGTCTGAGCCAGCCTCAAAAAGCAATCACATGACGAATAGCTGTGCATGTGCAGACATGCAAGATTTGTGCCGTATGCACATCCATCAAACCAAACAAACAATCTTCGCTGGACTGTGCCGGCCAGCTGCGCATGTGGACATTATGTGAGACATCAACGACCAAAAATGATGACAAACCATGTCCATGGAAAGCGTGTTGAAATGACACTCTTCCACCGGTCCACCACACTTTTGTCGATGAAACGATGAAACACGCCTACACGATTCGTTCATGCAGGCAAAACGAAAGGGGTTCTAATTTGCCATTGAAGTAAAATGCTGACGTGATGCAACCGGGACGGGGTCAGCCGAAGCTGCGACGGAAATTGACTTCGAAACCAGCTTCCAAGTCGAAACCGCCGCAGCGACACACATTGACAAACAAAAGCTCGGAACACTCTCTTGTAAAAAGCTCCTGAGAATCAACGAACGCACCCGTCAAAGAATCTTGGAAGCCATGCATCAGAACACGGTTACCTGTCAGCGGAGATGGATGCCCTTCGAAGATGCATGGTTCCTGTCAACACTGGCTCGGCCCAGGAATCATCAGCGAAGCCGAGAAGAATGACCAGAGGCGCGGGGCCCGTTTTGCAGCCCTGCTGAAAAGTCCATTTGTAGGTGTGGAACCGGCGTGTTCACTTGTGCTGAAGAAATGTCAGCTTTGGATGACTGCCACAATGGTCGAGTTGTAGATCATTGGGCGATGCCCAGGCTTTGGGTAAATCTGAGGAGAGAGAAATTTCCCCTCAGTTCGCCAACCACCCCATTTTGAACCCGATGGTGCAGCCTGAGGGGTGATGCTGAATTTCTTTCATTTGAATGATGCTAGCAACGCTGTTTTGTTGAAAACGCATTACCATTGACAACAGATAGTTTGTAGCTCAACCAACAACTGTCAAAAATGCTCGAAAACCTCTACAAAAAGCTTTGGAACAATCGAAGCACTGCACACTCTGAGCCCTTAAACCCTAAAATCCTGTCTTTCTCTCCGTCGCGCAAAGCGAGTCCACAAGCGAGACCACTCGTCAGCAACCCTTGAAATGGGACGAACGTGCGGGGAAAACAAAAAAGTCGGCGGAAGCACAGGGAAAACAGGGAAACCACATACACGATGCGTGAGCATGTCTTTTCAGGGCTCTTCGTTACCCTTGTCAGGTAAAACAATGGCAGGACTAGGGAAAATTTTTCCGGCCACCGTGGGGGAAAACTGAGTATGAAAGGAGACTTCCATATTACTGATGAAGCTCACCCGACGCACAAGAGGTATTCGTGACCACTCGCCGGTTTAAGATGCAACACCTTTGGCGAGGTGGCAATTGGCATGAAGACGTCATCCTTGCAGTTTTATTGGTAATCATGAAAACGTCACAATGGAATCCTTGCAGTCTTCTCGTTGGTAATTGCTGGAAGAGTCATGGCAAGTTGAAGAAAGTTAGTGCTGGCAGCGTTAGTACGCAATCCACACTGTCTTATGCCAGAACCTCATGTGGTTTCGCTTGCATTGTGAGCTTCAAACTCGTCATGGCTTGATTTAGTAGCACTGAGCAAACTATACGGTGTCCATTTGCGAGAATTCTGCAATGCACATTCGGTCACAAACTCCGACATGCTGTGCGGCAGGAGGCCTTTTCGCAAACCATAAAGAATACGTGTGACTGTGTGACTTGTTCTTTGGAAGCTGTAACATCTTGTCGGAATTTTAAAGCAGCTGAACTGTCCGTTTGAAAAAGCACACAGCGTAAAAGTGCATGTTTTGATTGGAGTTCCTTGCCCCGGATCTGCCACCGTCGAACGGTAAATTGAAAGCATACGAGATCGCACTGAAAATGACTTTTTTTGAAGACTGAAGTTCAAAACGAGGGAAGCAAGAGGTGACAGCCTCTCGTAGGAACCGACCTGAAACGGCCTGGCGCAGGAAACGGCTCGAAGACTTCCAAGACTACACTTGCAAAACAAAGCTTTCCAAGAGCAAGCGTTCTACACAGAACATTAAAATGGAAACTTGACCAAAGGTGCGCCAAAGTCTCTCTCTGGGGAGGGTGTTGTCAGCTCCCACTCTGTGATAGCTACAAGCCTTGTTTCAAGACATAGGTCAGAATTCGTTACTTTTGGGCACTGACGATCTGCGGGCCTACGGCCCGCTGCTCCCACGATCGTAGGGGCTCTAAAGTCTTTGCAAAACGGGAT